ATGCAGAGATATGCTACACAAACCACCATGCAGAATTGCACACCACCTGTTAATTGCACAATGCACAATACACAATGCAAAAATTCAGTGCAAAGTATAAGATGCACAACCATGTGCAATGGTTAAAATGCACAACTACAATACAAAGTATAGGCTTTGCTATTGTATGCCTCCAAGTCATTTTTGACTTATAGCAACTCTAAGGCAAACCTGTCATAGGGTTTTCTTGGCAAGGTTCTTCATAGATGGTTTGCCGTTGTCATTCTGTGAGGCTGAGAGAGTGTAACTTGCCCAATGTGGGGTTTTATGCTTGAGCAGGGAATCGAACCCTGATCTCCAGAGTCATAATCCGTCACTCAAACCACTACACCATGCTGGCTCTCTAAGGCAGGGGTAGGCAACCTTTCCCCTTTAAGGGCCGAGGGACTTCAGCTCCCAGAATCCCAGGAGCTATTGGCCAACATGGGACTATTGGCCAACATGGCTGAGGCTTCTGGGAGCTGAAGTCCCTTGGCCCTTAAAGGGGAAAGGTTGCCTACCCCTCCTCTAAGGTATAGTATGCACAATCACAATATGCAACATATAACCACAATGCAAAGTGTAGGATGCACAACCACAATGTGCAACACAGTTTTGTTCAGAGGAGGCCTGCCTTTGCCTTCTTCTGAGAAAAGTGTAACTTGCCCAAGGTTGCCCAGTGGGCTTCCATGACTGAGCAGGAATTCAAACCCTGGTCTCCAAAGTCATAGTCCAACACCCAAACCACTACACCAAGCTGGCTCTCATCATTCTTGCCTACAAGAATGAAATGTATGAAGATTTACATCCTTTCTTTCTATACAATGGGTTCGTGCTACACAGCTTAGAAGGTATCCTAACCCTCTCTCCTCCTTGATCCAGGCGTGCTCGGTTCAAACGGTCCAACAGTGTTACAGCTGGTGTGCAGGCTGACCTGGAGCTGGAAGGACTGGCAGGGCTGGCCGTAGCCACTGAAGACAAGGCCTTGCAGTTTGGACGCTCCTTCCAGCGCCATTCCTCAGAGCCTGAGTCCACGCGGCAATACTCGGTCTACAAGACAGTGCACACGCAAGGCCAATGGGCCTACCGGGAAGACTACCAGATGCAGTACGACACCATGGAAGTACCCCGCCAGGATTCCTGGATGGATCGGGGCTCACGCAGCCTGCCGGATTCTGGCCGAGCGTCGCCTTGCCACCGGGATGGAGAGTGGTTCATCAAGCTCTTGCAGGCAGAGGTGGAGAAGATGGAAAGCTGGTGCCAGCAGATGGAGCTGGAGGCAGAAGATTATGACCTACCAGAAGAGAGTGAGTGTCTGTCTCAACTTCTCTGTCTTTGTGTCTCTTTCTCTCGCTGTCTCTCACTTTGGACAGAGTGTTGGGCTTGTGGGACCTCATCTGTAGCTGCCATCTTCCTTCTCAAAGCCAGTCTGTGGACAATGCAGCTGGTGGCTTCTGTGTCAGTGGAGTGGGAATCTGCTTGGGTTTTGGTCCTAACTTTAAATACACCTACTGTATTTTCCAAATGCATGCCTCCCTTAGACCCAGAAATGTAAGATCATCACCTCCCAGTTGCAAATTCCCATTCCTGAGCAAGGCAATTGAGAAGGTGATGTCCCACAAGGTGCAGGTGTTCCTAGATGGAAAAGATTTTCTAGGCTCATTTCAGTCTGGATTCAGGCCTAGAGACAGTGGTGAAGCAGCCTGTTTTGTCGTGATGAATAACTTTATTCAGGAGAAAGAGATGTGAATGTCTTATTGATTTGTCAGTTCATTCTCCTCAGTCTCTTCGTGGTTTTCTGTATCATCAACCGCAGTAGCCTATTACACATAAAATTATTGTTCTTAATGGGATTTGTGTGTGGCATTGGGCTTCCAGAGTCTGTTAATCATCTTGGGTTTTTTGAATCAAAGGATGAGGTGTAAATAAAAGAGATAAATAATATTTGTGAGGAGTTTCCTTTTGAAGTGCACATGTAAAAGGAAAGAGATCTTTAGCAGTACTCCTAGTTTGGTTCTCAGACTTGAAGAACTGATGAAGATGCTCCAATGTTGGCCATGCCTTGAAGTCATTTTCAAAAAAGGCCACTTTACCACTGACTTTCTCATATCTCTGTCCATCTTCCCAGTCCTTGAGAAGATCCGCAGCGCAGTGGGCAGTGCCCAGCTCTTGATGAACCAGAAATTCCAGCAGTTTTATCGTCTCTGTCAGCAGAATATGGTAAGAGAATTCTTAGTGCATACTTAGGCTGTCATCTTGTTAGTGGCATACATGCACACACATAAGTTTCCTTTCCACTTCTGTATGTCCTTTTTTTGGGTGCTGCAGAGGCTGATATTCCTTTCCATCCTCCACAAAATCCAAGGCCTCCATCTCCCATTTACTGTGCATCCTCTGAATCCCCCCTCCTCACCCCAGCATGGCTATTCCATGCCTCATGGAGAGCAGACAGGATCAGAAAAACATCTGGTTGTAGCCAGACGTGAAATGATTACAGCAGTGCTAAGACCTTCAGAGGACCCTAGAGGATGTCAGCACTGACGTAATAGTTTCACATCTGGCTACAGGGATATAGCCAATTGCTTCTCCAATCCTGCCTGATCCCTACAAGGCATGGAATAGCTAACTATAGTTTGGGAGGCTTCAGAAGTTATCCAGGGAATGAAACATGGTTCATTCTAGTGCAGATCCACATGAGAAGCTATTACCGGTACATCTTCTTGTCTATCAATACCAAATGACACTGGCTGCACCTGTCTGTGACCCCTACGTAAAGGTAACTTAACATCCCATTCCTTTTCTTCTCCCCCTTGTCAGGATCCGAATGCTTTCCCCATGCCTACTTTCCAGGATCTGGCTGGATTCTGGGACCTCCTGCAGCTCTCCATTGAGGATGTCAGCATGAAGTTTGCTGAACTTCACCAGCTCAAAGCCAATGGGTGGAAACCCATTGAGCCCAAGGTAAGAGAGAAAAGGGATCAGTCATAGAACCGGGGGTGAGGAGCAGCTGGCTGCATGGCCAAGGCTTGCGCATCTGGGAAGTTTTAATAAATATATTAAAATCATTAAATTTTCATTCCCCAGCCAACAAATTTCTTCACCATGTTTAACTGTCTTCTTCAATCAAATGAACATGGTAATATTTTCTTTAATGTATAGAGACTGGGACAATTACTTTTTGGACTACAACTCTCAGAGTTCTGTTCTGTGATGCAGATTCCCAATGTTGCCGTCACAAAAATACAAGCAGCAACATTGAAAAGACAAAGATGGAGACAATATTGACTGAAAGTTCTCTTTCAGCTAAATCAGTGGTTCTCATCCTTTCCCCCCACCCCATGTTTTGGACTTCAGTTCTCATAATTCGTGACTGTTGGCCAAGCTGGCTGGGGCTTCTGGGAGCTGAAGTCCAAAACATCTGGAGGACTGAAGGATGGGAACCAATGAACCAAAGGATTGCCTCCAAATACCTTGCTTTCTTCAGAGACTTTTAAGCACCATCTTAACCCAGGCTGAGAGAACCCACTCTGGGACCTCCTCCTGCTCTCCATTGAAGATGTCAACATGAAGTTTGCTCAGTTCTTAAAGTCCACAGATGACTGGGTCAGCACCCACAACATCACAGCATTAGTTGAGCCTAGTTAAGCATTTAAAATTTTCCCCACAATGCTTTATGAAGGGGCTAGGTCTGGGGCATTATGGGAAACTGAAAGGATAGTGATCCAGCTGCCTGACCCAAAAACCCAGCCAGTGTCAACAAATACTGGTTGGTTGCAGCTGAATCTGCTGCTCTATTTTCCTTCACTCAGTTGGTCTTCAAGATCTGAAGATATAAAAGAGAAATAAGGGATTCAGAAAGAATGAGAGACAATCACAGCTGTTATCTCCTTTCCCTCTCCCCTCCTCCCTCCCCAACTTGAGAACTGCACTGCTGGCCAAGGCAAAATAATTGGGCATTTTTAACAAATCTTTGTTCTTTTTCATTATTTTTTTTCCAGTTAGAACAGCAAAGCTCTTACAGCTGCTCCCTGAAAGAGCTGTTCAGATCCTGACTGAAAAGCTATTTCCGTTAGGGGTTTTGGTTGGTTTTTTTGCATCTTGTTTCTGTTGCAACGCTTCTAGCTTCTGCCTCAGAAAATGCTGGTAGGCATGCACCCACACACAGGCTTTTTAATTTGTACTAGGGATTGTGTCCTCTGGACTGGAGTCAGTGTCTTTGGTTGGCACAGCTGTGTTCTCGGTGAAGCCTTGATCCATGAGTGGATACGTCAACACACAGCCATTCTCAGGTTGCATCCGGACTGATTGAAAAGTCCCAACTTTTGTTCCTGTCCTTTCCAGTTTTATACTACACATGTGCATCTTTCCCTACAGAAGCAGCTGGACTTTTTGTCCAATGTGGAAGTCGACATTTAGTTGAAGACTGCAGAAGCAGAGTTGCACATGTGGTGCTGTTGCAAATGAACAACAATCAGGGGAAAACCCCAGCACTCACCCCTCTACTGTCAGAACACAATAACCTCCAAATGGATCAAGGAAAGTGCTATGAAAATATAAAGATACAAAAAATGCATTTGTGCAACAATCAAGACTACTTATGAAACCGCAAAATGACCAGTTGGGTGTTTCAAAAGAGACACACTATACACAACGGGGTATACAAGGACAAATTAGAACAACAGATTCCACAATAAACAGTCTTGATTATTGCACAAATATATTTTTTGTATCTTTATATTTTCATAGCACTGTCCTTGACCCATCTGGAGATTATTTGTGTTCTGACCATTGCCAATTGCACATGCAGATATGCACTGAGCATTGCAATGGTGGATTTCACACTTGTATGCACATTCAGGGATGCATTATTGCAATTACTAAAGTGCAATTGTCATGTAATTCTGTACCTAAGATTTTACATGTTCTACACATGCATTTCCACATCCTCCCACTTTCCAGTAACTATCAGGAGAGGTCACTGCTGGTGTCACTTTCTGATGGGGAAGAGAAGGATGGAGAAGGTGATTCTGTACTTAGCTCTCAACTTGGCAAGGGAGAAGAAATTAGGGTATGTTCTCAAATGGAGCCTATATTTTCCTTCCCCCAGGTACCCAGACCAGCAGGATGTTCACCTCGCTTCTCCCTTCTCTTCCCCAATGGCCTTCCATTCCTCCTAACGCTCTCTCTCTTCCTTTTGCCAGGAAGAAAAGAAGGTGCCTCCACCAATACCAAAGAAGCCACCACGCTCCCGGCTCCACCCGGTGAAGGACCGATCCTTGGACTCCGTTGACCGGCAAAGGCAGGAGGCCCGCAAGAGGCTCTTGGCAGCCAAGCGTGCCGCCTCTTTCCGCCAGAGCTCGG